CACCCTGAGCACCCCTGAACATCCCTGAGAACTCCCGGACACCCCTGAACAACCTGAGCATCCCTGAGCACCCCATATCTCCTCTTAGCACCCCATAACAGCCCTGAGCACCCCTGAGCTCCTCTGAGCACCCCTGAACATCTCTGAGCTCCCGTGAACATCCCTGGGAATTCCTGGACACCCCTGAACAACCTGAGCACCCCATATCTCATCTGAGCACCCCATAACAGCCCTGAGCACCCCTGAGCTCCTCTGAGCACCCTGAACATCCCTGAGCACCCCTGAACATCCCTGAGCACCCTGAACATCCCTGAGCACCCCTGAACATCCCTGAGCACCCTGAGCACCCTATAACAGCCCTGAGCACCCCTGAACATCTCCGAGCACCCCATAACATCCCTGAGCTCCTCTGAGCACCCTGAGCACCCCTGAACATCCCTGAGCACCCCAAAACATCCCTGAGCACCCCTCAGCATCCCAGCAATGTCTCCAGCTCTGGGCAGACACCTGGAATATTTTCCTGGGCAGTGATGCCTGGAATTCAGGGCAGCTCTGCAGACCACCCGTGTGCACCTGGCCCACGGGGAATTCCTGGTGGTGCTTTGGTTATTCCTTGGCCGAAGGGGTTTTCTGTGAGAACCTCTCAGTCCTTTGTTTGAAAACCTGGCTTTGCCTTTTCCTTGGAAATCTCTCCCTGTCCTTTCTCCAGGGCTTTTCCTGCTGGGGAAGGTCGACCCTCCTTTGTGAAAGTTGGATTGATGCCTTTTAATGCTTTCCATTCTCAGCGATCACAGTGTCAACTTGTGCTGCTTGTAAGAGTTGAAATTGTATTTTCTTCCTTCTTTTCTTTCAGCTACAGCTGCAGAAAACCCAATATTTGCAACTGGGGCAGAGCCGTGGCCAGTACTATGGGGGGTCATTGCCAAATGTGAACCAGATTGGGAACAGTGCCATGGATCTCCCCTTCCAGGTGAGTTCAGAGGCTTTTTCCTTGGATTTGCTGATGAATTCTGGGCTTGGAAGCTGCTGTGCCCTCCCAGGCAGCTGCTGGTCCAGGAGGCAGCACCCTGATTTAAAAACTTGGGGTGGGGTTGGGATGTGTGGGTGTTTTTGATGTTGATTGTGATAGATTTTAATTCTCCTGTCCCTGGTTGTGAGGCTTTGGGGGTCAGGAATACTCTGAGAGATGCCATTCCTGATGAAATCTGGCAAGGTGCTGTAAATGCAAAGCAAAATGGGAGGAAATAAAGACGATGTTGGGGGCTGGGGGGTGGAGGAATCAATGTGCATGTTCTGTGGGAGGAATTTTGGGAGAGGAGAAGAGCAGTGGGACACAAAGTGGTATCAGAATAATCACTTTTTTTTGGGCTGGCTGGAAATGAAATGTAAGAATGTCCTGGCTGGGTTTTGTGACTCCAGGGACGATGCACCTTAAACAGAAAATCAGAATTTCAGGTGAATATTTTGCTGTGTGAAGCATGTTTGGACAGGGGATGTTGTCCAAGGACAGGATTAGTTGGTGGATCCTTTGTGGACTCCCGATTTGCACATTTAGTTGATTTAGAGTGGCCAAAATAATGAACATTTCTGCATCAGTTTTCCTTCTTTGAGCAGTCAGAGTTACGGTTGAGCTCACGAGGATGTGGTGGGAAGGAAATTTTGCAGTTTGTGGTTTTCTGATGAAGGCTGTTTAATAAAGATGGAGAAACTCTTGCTGACCTCCTCTAACTGCTTCTTGAAATAGGTGCAGACAGCTGAATTTGGGCAGGTTAGAACCTTGAATTTTGTGCCACAGGAGAGGCAAAAGTCTATTTTGATCTTTTATTCCCTGTGGAATCCAGAGCAGAGGTTTGTAGCGGATTGAAGTCCCCAGTGCTACTCCACAATGTCTGCTCTGTTCAAGCTTTTCTCTTCAGCTTTTTGTTAGGGGGATTAAAAATTCCTTTTAAACAATAATATTTCAGTATTTCTATGCTTGATGGCCATCACTGGTGGTTTTTACCTGGACTGTTTTAATCCTGACTGCTGAAAAGTGAATATTCAAAAAATTTATGAATGACTGGAGGAGGAGACAGAAACAAACTATCCTTAAACCCTGGGGTTTGCTGTATTTTTTTCCACACACACTCTAAAAAAAAACCCCAAATTGATGTTGTTCCAGATAACAAATGGTGACGAGCAACAAAACAACCCCATGTGTTTGTAGCAGGGGGGAAAATCTTCCCAGGTTTTCCCAAGCACGGCTCTGGGGTGGTGTGAAGGCAGAGCCTGGGTGGTTGTGCCTGCTGAGAGCGTTGGTGTCTGAGCATCTTCTGCTTCTTTGATTTGCAGCACAACGGAGCTCTGGCTGAAGCCTTTGGAGCAGTTCCTGTCTCTTTGGTAAACAAGTTTTTAGGTTTGTGCAAATACGTATTTAGGACTGGTCCTGTTTGCCCAGGTGGATACGTATTTCTGCACACCCGCTGTGCTGCACACAGGATTTATTTGGTTCACCCCCAGCTCCACAGGACTGCAGGGCTGCCACACAAATCCAGGTTTTGCCGTGCATCCCAGTCTGGAACATGCAAATAATTCCTGTGCAGACTCCCTGGACTTGCTGTCATGTGGTTATTCTGGTTTTTTTGGGGGGTTTCTTCGGTGCAGCTGGTGGATTATTCCGTCTTGGCCTGTGGTTTCAGCGATCTCTGAGCATGTGCACTCAGCCTGCATGTTTAAATCCATGGGGAAGGGCAGAATGAATTCCCAAATCCTGCTTGGCACCAGGAGGCACCAAAATACCAACCAGCAGTAGGTACCACTCCTCCTTCCCCCTCATCCACCTCTCCTGGGTTTATTTCCCAAGAAATCCTAAAAGGACGCTTGGAGAGCGCTGAGCTTTTTCCTTCCTGTCTGTATTGAGCTGCTTTTTTCATGGTTTGGGGGGTTTTGGGGCTGCTCTCAAACCCTTGAATGTTTTTCAGGGGAGTGAAACTCTTTTAGTTCTTCATTTTCCCCAAATACAATCAATGCTCATATCTATTAATTGCTTTTAATCAATTTTTTTTCCCTAGAGTTAAATATCTGCTGCCTTGCAGAGATGGGGAATTTTAATCCAGGAACATTGCCCTGCTGTTTGGCCCTAAATAAATTTTGTAGGAAGGTTGCTGAGAGAAGCCAGACCCGTTGGAGGTGATACCCATTTCCTCAGGTGTTTTCTGTTCCCCTAAATTCAGGATTCTTTTGGGATCTGGGTTCCTGGAAAGGCAGGGAACAGCACTGTCCCAAAATCCCTCTTTCCATAAACTGTAGCCCTGATCTGGGACACATTCTACGTTTATTTGTGCCGCTGCTGCACTCAAATGAGATTTTGATGGTGTTTTTAACAAGGAAATCATGCCAATAAAAGGTAAAATCCTAAGAAATAGCTGGTTTTACATGGAACTTTTTGTCTTTATAATTTTATGCTTTGGCCTCCCTTTAAATTCCAGGTGAGCCCTGTGCTCAGGACTGGCTGCTCCTTTTTTAGCAGCGCTGTGCTGACACCACTGACATAGGAAATTGCTTTTCCTGTTGACCTTCCAAGCACGTATTTGCAAGTTTTGCTGCCTTTTGGGTTGTAACAACAGAAAAAAGGAGGAGTTTGAGACCTTCTGTCACTTTGGAATGATGAATATTCCCACTTGTGTGTGGGGATTGTTGCTCAGGGCTCGCAGCAGAGATTAAAGCACCGTGTTTGAATTTAAAACCCTTAAAATTGAGATTCTGTTTGAGATTTCTCAGCCAAGTGAGGAAGTGAAGAACAAACCTCATGATTTGAAGTCCTGTAAAAAGTCACTGTGCTCCTTTCTAGTCCCCTGTTGCCTTAAATATTCTGCTGCATATAAAATGTTGGCCCTGAAATGAGAAAATAAACACTACAGCCCCTCTGCAGCTCTGTTAACACAGCCTGTGTGTGCAGAGAGGGTGAGGAGCCCAATGTTTGCTGAAGAGAAAAGAGTTTAAAATAGTAGAAAGACTCTTTAAAAAGTTCATACAAACAAAGCCTTTCAAAATAAATGCAAAGCTTTATAGAAATAATCTTTTCAACAGCCAAAGCTGACACTTGGAAAAAAAAAGAAGAGCAAAAAAAAAAGAAGAAAAAAGGGATGAATGTGGAAGCCAGATGGTTTCAGGGCTTGGCAGACAGGACAGTGCATTTGCCACGTGCAGCACCTGAATGGAGGAGGAAATTTTGGATTTCCAAACAGATGGTGTTGAGGGACTCAGCAAAGCTGTTCACATTGGCAGCGAGTGCAGGGCTGGGGAGGATTTTTCTCCCTGGAGACCCATAAATTGCTGGTGGAGTACGAGCAGAGATTGACCCCTCGGTACTTCCTTTGTCCCCCCGGTACAGCCTGGGAAGGGCTGTGGAAAATGTGAAAGTTTTCCAGTTTAGCCTGGGAATTCATCTTCCCTGTCCTTCCCCTGCCATCCTCCTGAGCTCATCTGCTCAGGATGTCGGTGAGATAAGAGTCCAGGTGGGATCATCCCACCTCAGGTCACTGAAGGAGCTGAAAATCACTTCAAAACCATCCAACAGAGGAGGAAGGAAACTGCTTTTCTTTTTCTTTTCATTCTCTCAGTGTCCCCTTCAAATAAATCTGCTGCAAGGAGGGGTGAGAGGCAGCCTGGGAGCAGGCAGCGTGGCCTGGGGAATGCTGAGCTCAGCGTGCAGCTCCTCCCTGCATCCCCTGCCCTGGCCTGGGCTCTGGATGTCGGCATGTTCCTCCCGTGCACCCTGCATGCTGCACCAAGGGCATGTGGCAGCGGCTGGCACTCCTGCCACCTCAGCCCGGGGCACCAGGGCTGCCTGGCTGTGAGGCAGCTCCAGCATGGCCCCTCTGGAGGAGGCAGCTTTCCCAAAAAAAGCTGTCGGAGGAAAAACAAAACCACGCAAAGAGCACCTCTCGTTTCGAGTGATTCCTTGGAGCGAGCCAGCCTGGCACACGAGGAGGAGGAGGAGGAGGAGGAGGAGGAGGAGGAGGAGGAGGAGGAGGCTCTGGGCAGGCTGGGGCTGTTTCCCTGTCTAACCACTGTGTCTCTCCCAGACCCCGTTCCAGTCGTCGGCGCTGGACACGAGCAGGACCACGCGGCACCACGGGCTGGTGGACAGAGTGTACCGGGAGCGGAACCGCCTGGGCTCGCCCCACCGCCGCCCGCTCTCCGTGGACAAGCACGGCCGGCAGATATCCTTGGGAGCAGGGCAGCCAGC